TTAAAACACCATTGTAATTGTTTAAAACACCATTGTAATTGTTTAAAACACCATTGTAATTGTTTAAAACACCATTGTAATTGTTTAAAACACCATTGTAATTGTTTAAAACACCATTGTAATTGTTTAAAACACCATTGTAATTGTTTAAAACACCATTGTAATTGTTTAAAACACCATTGTAATTGTTTAAAACACCATTCTAATTGTTTAAAACACCATTGTAATTGTTTAAAATTACCCGCACAGCCATCGCGCCAACGTTTGGGGACAAGATCTCATGTTGAGAATTACAACTTCACTCAAATAGCATAGGCCTGATAGATTTAATGTCTTGAAAACATATTCTGGATTTGATCATTTAATTTGATGAAAAAATGGGAAGAATTATTCAGCTTTTCTTGAAATTGTGATCGTTTGTTGTCAAATTTAATTGAATGGTCAACAATGTTCAACAATGGTCAACAATGGTCAGCAATGGTAAACGATGGCCAAGAATAGTAAATAATTGTCAGCAATCGTAAACGATGGCCAACAATAGTCAAAAATGGTCAACAATGATCAAAAATAGTTAACAATAATCGATAATGATCAACAACGGTCTAGCTATCGCTTCACTGTAGACTAACAATTTGTATTAATAATATTCAAAGCTAACTCTGGAATTATCGAATTAAATACCATATTCCAGGGAAGAGTTGGGGGGGGGGGTGGTGGTGGTTTCTATCACTCAGAGGGGGATTGACGCCCCTGATTTTAGGAACTGGGTGTTACAAGCAATAGTATGTATTGCATTGGTGAACACATGTGTCATTCAGGAAGCCAGTGTGCTTTGTATTCTTTGCTTCACTACAACAATCATTCATTAGAGCAGTTCATAATCAGATCGTATTGGACCGTAGGAGATCATATCAGATCATAAAAGATCACAGAAGATCATAGCAGATCATACATGCAATAAGGAGTGTTCGTAAACTGAGAGCGAAATTTCAATTTAAATTTATTGAATGGTCAATTCTTCTTCTTCTTTATTTTAAGGGCCCACGATCAATGAATTGATCATTCTGGCTCCTATGTTTCAGAGAGGTTTGCGATGTTACTGTCCATGGGTTTCAATGGGATACTTCACTGGTTGCAAGGGCGACTCAGCAGTGGTGTTATGAACTGGGGGTTGGAATACAGGACGCAATAGACACAAATGTATCGAGTGTAGCCGCCTCAACTGTTGCTTTTGGAAGCTTGTTCCAGTCCCCTATTGTCTTCGGCAGGAATGAGGAGCTTCTGTACTTTGTTCTTGTTTTTACCAGCCGGAACTGTTTGTCGTGACTTCGTCGCAGTCTGGGGGGAAGATGAACGAGTTTCTGTTTTATTCCGGAGCAGTGCACCAGCCCATTTTTGATCTTGTACAACATGGTGAGCCTGGATAGTCGTCGTCGTTCTTCCAATGTAGACCAGTCCAGTGTTTCCAGCATGCTACCAACACTCGAGGTGCTTCTGTAGCGGTTCATGACAAAGCGTCCCTCCCTCTAAGTAGACTGGGTCACAACATATGATCCTCCTGTTCTCAAGTTCCCTCCCTCTAAGTAGACTGGGTCACAACATATGATCCTCCTGCTCTCAAGTTAACTCCCTCCAAGTAGACTGGGTCACAACATATGATCCTCCTGTTCTCAAGTTCCCTCCCTCTAAGTAGACTGGGTCATAACAGGGGAGCTCAAAAAGATAACCCCCAAACATTATAAAGTGGTGAGAGTTTCCTCATCTGACATGACTTATTGGAACTTTGATCTCATAAGTCAATTTTTTATACTCAAGATAAGAAAGGATTTTGTGCATGTATTTTTGTCCCAAGTTAAATCAATAAAGTTGATATTTCCTGACTCCTGGCCCTAGTTAAACTTGACACAAAATTTACAGTTACTTCAAAACATAGTCCCCTGTACACAAAGGAATGTTTTAAAATCTGGCTAATGAGCAGTTGTGTATAAGACTGTTACTTTTGTTAGTTGGAGATAATTTCTATAGGAAATATTAAAGGAATTTAAATCTTCTAAGCTATAACAATGTTTTTTATGAGCGTAAAACAAAACTATGATAAAAATTAAAGTATTTCTGGTAAGAAAAATATTATAAAAATGGTTTTTAAATGTAAAAATTTACATAATTATGATATTAAAAATATAGAATTATCATATAAAAATATAGATTTATATTAAAACCTTTATTATGCTGTAATTAATTTGCATAATGAGAATCAATTTGGGGTATTAATTCAAGACCTTCATTAAAACTTTCATAATAAATGATAAAGGTTAAAGAAAGTAATTGACATGTTAGCTGAAACTATACAAGTCCTTAATGATGAGTAAGTTAGCATTTGGAATAAAGAATTTAGAAAGCTCATGGTTTGAGGAAACTTGGCATTGATATAAATTAGGCTTCAGATTGTTTGACATAATTTTAGCCAAGCTTTTTCAATTAATTTGTAAAAATGATTGCATTTTCCCTATTCTAAGTCTACTAAACCATAAAATTATGTAGGGTCTTACTGAAAGTTTGCTAAGTCCAGACTTGAGCATTCAGTTTATATATTTAAAATGTAAATTAAGTTTATCTTTATAAAGAACAATTACAACATTAGACGAGTATATTTACTCCTACATTTACTTATGACCTAATTTAATCCTGACCTACATTTACTCCTGACCCACATTTACTCCTGACCTACATTTACTCGTTCCATGACCGTTCCTCAACCGTTCACGTACCTTTACTCCGTTCATGGCCTATCTCCATTAGCAGGTCAATCGCCGGCGACTGTGGCGAGTAGACCAGTGGAGCCGTGGCGACGGGTTCCCTGCTGTAATCCGTCGGCCGGTAGTGTTCCTCTCGGCGGAGTTCCTTGCGCGTGGTGGCTATCATCACTATTATGACAAGACTGATTAAGTACGGCCCCCCTGTAGACAGAGAGAACAGAAAATGTACTATGAGTAGACTACGTTCACGGTACTGTCACATGCCCGCCTAGTACACGGTATGTCCTTTTAGTAAATGGTTATGCCCACCTAGTACATGCTTATGTCCACCTAGTACATGGTTATATCCAGCTAGTAGAGGTATATCCACCTAGAAAATGATATGTCAACAAAGCAAATGGTATGTCCACCAAACACATGGTATGTTATGCGGGCTAACATGACCTGACAAATTTCTAGATACCTCTCGAAGCGGTTGACGGGCCCAATCCATCAGGATCTGAATGTTAACTAGAAATCTCTAATCACTGAGAAGGAAAACATTATCGAAGGCTTGTCCTTAATCGACCTTTGTCCATCAATGACGAAGCTATAACTCGCCTTCCGCATGTGCTAATCAATCAAGAAATGGAAGACATCCTTACTCTAAAAGGGACCTAACAAGCTCTACGCCTTTTTTAGAGTGGCCAATTTCAAGCTGATTACTAGATCCCAGCTGAAGTATACAAATAAAGGGGTCACAGCTCTGTCTGCAAGGCTTCACCAGCTGTTTCTGCTTAATGTGTCAGCAAGAGACGACACCACGTGATCTCTGTGGAAGAAAGAGACGACACCACGTGATCTTTGTGGCAGCAAGAGACGACACCACGTGATCTCTGTGGAAGAAAGAGACGACACCACGTGATCTCTGTGGCAGCAAGAGACGACACCACGTGATCTATGTGGAAGAAAGAGACCACACCACGTGATCTCTGTGTCAGCAAGAGACGACACCACGTGATCTCTGTGGAAGGAAAGAGACGACACCACGTGATCTCTGTGGAAGAAAGAGACGACACCACGTGATCTCTGTGGAAGAAAGAGACGACACCACGTGATCTCTGTGGAAGAAAGAGACGACACCACGTGATCTCTGTGGCAGCAAGGGAGACGCCGCCGCGTGATCCCTAGGAGACATCTATTGTTTTACCTGGACATAGTGGCATATCAAAGCCCTCGGCGAGACACTCGCTAGCTTCTAACTACACCATCTTAATACGCATCTTGAGAAGGTTCTCGTGACAGAAAGTCAACGCGGTTTCTGTAAATAACGAGGCACTATTCATTTGGCGCTTTCGACCAAACAGCTACATGAAAAATGCAAGTAACAGAGTGTTGACCTCTTCTCCACCATGTAGACCTGATCAAGGCGTTTGACGCTGTAAGAAGAGAAGGTCTTTGGAAGATCATGACCAAATATGGATGTCCCAGAAATTCTATATCTCTAGTGCGGCAACTCTATGATGATCTGCAGTCTAAGGTTCGGGAAAATGAAGAGACTTCTAAATCATTTACTGAGGAAAATAGCGTCAAAAAAA